CAATATTCATGGTTCATGAATTCTCGACCGTTATGGAGTAAGGCGATTTACGTTTTGTTTTTATAAGGGTGGATTTCAAGGGTAATGCTCGATAGTTTTCCTCCTTCCATATCCGCCCTCTTGAAAGCTGTTTGGCATTTTTCGCTGCTGTTGTTACTAAAACTCATAGTGGACCCATTGTTAGGGTCACGAGAGCTGTTTGGCTGTCCCTTGCACAGTTGAAGGAAACGCCGATCTTTCGAATGAATCTTTTGCCTTTGTTCAAGGTCCGTAGTAAACCCGCGTAGGAAGGACGATATCTCAAAGTGACTTTGACGGTGGTCCAACGCGGAATGCGCGTCAGTTATTCGATGACTTAAATATATAGAAGACAGCCTTATTGCGCCTTGTATTCAAGTCCGTTGAACTGTAAACGGAACCACTGTGTAATGATCAATGAGGCGGATGCCTTTGCGTCTTGACAGGAATAGTCGGCTATGAGAAAGAATGTGTAGGGTTATTTTAAAATGTTGAAAATTTAGCATTTTGACAATAGAATCGTTTTTAAATTATTGTCTATCGTTAACGAAGCAGTCTGATTGAATATAAATATTTAAGGGAGTTTCCTGTTACCCCTTCCAGTATTTAGCAGTTGGAAATGCGTTTCACGGTCTGTGCACTCATTGCTATTTATCGAACTGAGTTTCTGAAATGTGTCGTATTTCTCAGATGAGCATTTTTCTGGCATCGCCATAAAGTATGTACACTCATTAACGCTGCATAGGCATTTCCGTAATGTGATTTAAGACGGAAAGTAAACAGATTGACAGTGAAAATCCCAGTCCATCTGAGCTCTACATTTCGTGCTCTTTGGTATGATTATAGTGAAATTATACAGGTTCGTGAACAGATCGCACTTGTACGAAACTTTCCACGATGTCGGTTTTGGTTAGTGTCGATTGAGTTTTGGATCGAGCTGACTCAAAAATACCGCCGAAATATCTGGCGGTAGTTTATGTTCCTGAAGATCCCTCCACCAGAAACGGTTCAAGTTATTGTTTGCTGAGTGCTCTCAGCGATCCTTTAATAAGGACGGGGATATTAAGGCAGTGAAATTTGCGCCTCCTAATGTAAATCACAACAGTGCAACGCACTGACAAGGAAGGAGCGAAATACGTTGCAGATTTTATGTTCATTCGTTCATTTTTACAGCTGGCTATATCTTTTGGTTGCTGGGGCAGTGGCTTCATAAAGTTGTTCCACTAATCGAGCAGTTTCATCAGAATGGATTTGGTTATGACAAGATTCTACACAAACCATCTGGTTTTCGGTCCACCTCTTGATCGTCTGTCATGTGATTGAAGGAAGAATTGTTTCATTCCTCTGGTATACAAACTGCCTACTACCAGATTGTTACCTCTCGATCTGGAGAAAAAATTGTTGACAAGCGAGATTATCTCGAATTGCCGCATTACTAATCTGGTAGATTTTTGTCACACCAACAGTCCTTCGAAGGTATCACATTCTTTCGGTTAATATCCATCATTTACAGCCATTCGTGTTGAAAAGTTTGTCACCTTATTTCACGGCACTCAGCGTCGTGCAATTGTTTAATTCTTTCGTTACCATAAATTTTAGCTCTCGCTGATCGATTTGTGTCTATTTCCACATCTTAACCAATCTTCATTTCAGTTACGTTTGAAGTACACTGAATGAAGTTTCCCTGACTGTGAAAGCCTCGATCTTCGCCATACTGGCCTTCGTCTCGCCCTCTCGCATGCGACTGTTGTTAGAGCATCACACAATGACATCTGACCTATTAATGTGTTGCCTGTTTGAGTAATCATCACCTTGAGCCGTGTTTACAAGTAGAACTTCCCAGGTTTGTTGATGACCGCTGTATTCGCAACTTTTCAGCACTTGCTATAAGGCACTGGTTGTTGCATCGCAGAAGGAAACATTCATCTCCGAAAACATCTTTCTCTGCCTTTTCTACTGTGTTGCATGCTGACCTCCTGGTCGACGTCTTACGTCTTTTGGTTCCCACGCAATGAGCTGATGGGCTGAAGTAAGGTTTATGCTCGACGTGTTTGTCTAACAGGGCCAACCTTCTTTGCTTAATTTTCGCATCTACTAAGGCCGCCTCTGCCCGTGAAAGAATAGAGCCATTCGTTACACGACGGTGCCATTTTGCCCTCATACGTCGAAGCGACTGTTTTTGGACGTAGTGTATCCGTCGTTCTTGATGTTTCCTTTGAACAGTCATGCCTACTAGAATGATCCTTTAGACATCTAGAAACAGTGGAGCGCAACGCTAACGCCTTGTGAATTGATTAATTGCAGTTTTCCTTCCATTAATGCTATGCTGTTTATCATCATCGTCAGCCTTTGTTTTTCTACTGCTGGATGACGATCTCGAAAACTTCACCGCAGACCTCTGTTTTCTTCCACTTTCATAGATCATGATACAGCGAATTTATTCATCTCATCCTGTCATCGATCTGGAGGTCCTCCTGTGTTCCGCCGTTTGCTCTCTCGATCCATTACTCTCTCCAGTCTGATGTCTCTGGTCCTGCGATGGTAGGTTCTTCCTACAGCTTGTTCTGCCCATTGCCGTTCTAACTTTTTCACTCAAGCAATGACATCCTAGAGTCCTATTTGTGCTTTTTCACACTCATTCGTCCTACGTTTTGTTCCTATTCCTATGTTCATTCCTATTTTCGAAATGCATATTTCCCTGTTGCGTTGTGTAGTTTGCTGTTTAAAAACAGTTTTCTGGTTTGGGGTCCGCGTTTCTCACCCATAGGTTAGCACAGTTGTTGAAAATTTTTCGTTTCAGGCACAAAAACAGTTTTCCAGACAGGGACATTTTTAGTATTCCAGTGTATTCTGTGACATTTATATTCTTTGTTGATTTCGCATATTCGACTCTCTGATTCATAGATGAGGTGTCCCAGTTAGACGTAGTTTTGCACTTCTTCAAGCTTAAGTCCTTCGACTTAAACTCCGCGCGGTCACGTATTTGTTATGCATGACCTGAGTTTTTTTCGGTTAATTTTTAGTCGCGCTTTCGAGATGACGTCGTTCATCCCTCGATTCTTCTTGGAGTACATCTGGTACTTTTGAGAGGATCAGATTGTCATCTGCAAACGCAGATGGACTAAATGATGTCCATTTATGTCCAGCCTAATTTTCCCAACGGAGTCTCGAATACGCCACTCGAAAGGAGAAATGGTTATGAATGATGAAGGTGAAGAATAGAGTCTTAAAAATCTCTAGCGTTTGTTGCGAATAACTCTAGTGATATGGCATCACTCTGTCAGACATTCTTTTTTGTTTTGAACTTAGTTGTTTTTTTCGTGGAATGCCACACTAGCAGTTGCATTCTTGTAAATCGTGATGATGAAGTCTCTGCATATTTTTTCGATCCCCTGTCTTCTCAAGGAATCCAGTACAGAATGGATGTAGTCAGTGTCGAAAGCCTTCTCGTGACCTATGAACCCCAAAGAGAGCGATGATGCGGATATTCGTTGCTTGTTTGAATTGCTTCGTGTACCACCTGTGGATGATCCATTGTACGAAATTCACTTCTGAGTCCTGTTTGTTCTCGTGGCTGTGCTGAGTCCAGTTTTTCTTGTATATCCCAGTCCCCCTATTCCTGCTCTGGATAGTACTTTCGTGAAGATCTTTTAGGTGATCCGCAGCAGATTAGCAGCCTTGCAGTTTTTCAAATGCTTCATGTTCCTGTTTGTAGATTAAAGTAGCCGATTCGGTAGTTGTCTGCAATTTTCATATCCATCAGACATCGCGAAACTAAGCGCCCTAATACCTTGCTCAGTGCTTCACCTCTTGATTCCACTTGTTATACTGCAACGCCGTTTTTGCTTGGAGCTCTTTTTTGTTGTAACTGTTTTATTTAATGTCGCCCTTCTTGCGGCAAGATGTCCGAAGTTTCGTCACCTTTTGCATCTTCAAGTTCCTTATCTTCACCAGTGGTATTCCAGTTGTCATTTTTGTAGTGTTTTATAGAAATCTTCTACACTTTTTAGAATTTCTTGCCTGTTCCTGGTGAAAATTCCGTCTTCTGCTTTAAGAGCTAAAATTTGTCGTCTCCTGATCGTCACCCTTCGATTTAACTTCTTAATGCTTCGGTTGTTTTCACTAATTTCCTTTATGCAGTTCAGTGCTGACATGTTTTGTTTTACATATTTCTTGAAATTTTGCAAAGTTCCATGTATTCGATCTTTGATTTCTGATCTATCGCTGTCTGTTTTTCTGAGTTTTTTTTCGCTTCGTGATTTTACGGTCGATCTCCTCTCCTTTTTCCCGGAGATGCTTTCTTCTGTTTTTGTAGCCGCTTTCGTTACATCCTGATATAATCTTCGTTATATTTTAATACTCTATCACTAACGTAGTCTGCTTGTCCTCTTTTTTATTATTGCATTCCGCGAAGGGTTTTAAATCAGTTATTTTGACTTTAAATAGAGGAAAATTATTCTTTATTGTTTCTGCATCGAAGATGTTGCGTTTCTTCCTCATCAGTTTCCCTCTCGAACATGAATTCATTCGCACTTTGCGTCTGACTAGCCGGTGGTCGCTTCCTGCATTAAACCTGTTGAGCACAATGATATGTACTGTTCTCATCCTACTGCGGATGAAATCGATTTTATGTCTGTCTTCATTTGGGTTTTTCCTTAAATTTACATGTCTTGATTGTTCTGTTGAATTAAGGTGTTCATAATAAGTATTTCGTTCTCTTCTGAGAACGTACTTAGTTGGCCTCTCGGTCGTTCCCTTCGCCGTAACCAAATCGGCACGCAGGGAATTATTGACCTTTCTGCGGTTCAACTTTGATGTTGTAATCACTAAAGATGAATTTTGAATGGCTCCTTTCAGGTTTATGCATATGCACTGCTTCTAATTCTTCGTAAAAATCTTCAATTTCATAATCAAAATGAGGACACTTATAAGTGCTGTCCAGTGCAATACATTATTCTTTAATCTTCTCTGGATAATGAACCATATTCTCCCTGAAGGGATTCCATTTTCCAATTCTTGGTCGAATATATGCCCCCCCCCACTATGAGGCTTTAACAGATCCTCGTTCTTTCGTCTGGTTTCGCTGAGTCCTACAGCATCACACTTGATTTCCCTAGGTTCCTCCAGTTCTTGAAGCCTTGCTTTATCGTCAGTGAAATGCAATTGTGCGTTGCCTGCATTAGTGAAGTGTAATGGCTTTGATCTTTAACCCGGATATTCTTACCAATCTCTGCCTTTGTGTTTGACCAGCTGCTACCTTCGCCGGCGGCAATCCAGTCTGCAAGGATTGAGAGCTGTGGTTTTCGTTGATTTAATCTTGAAGAATGCAGCCATGATTCACCACTCTGACCAGACGTGTATCCACTTCCACTTGGCCGGGTGTATTTCTTAAGTTTTTACAGAATGTCAAACCTGCCAGAGCCTGAAGGTTCAGTTGGACATCACCTTACAAATTTCCTTGTCACCCTCCTACCACGCTGAGGTAGTGGATAAATATGACTAAGAATCGATACTGTTTATACTACTACTACATCCAGTTTACCTATGTAAACTGTAGGTACTTTATAGTATATGCTTAAATGGCTCCTTGAGCATTTATGAACAGTGAAACGGTCAGGTGGAATTACGTTTGCTATTGCTATAGGCTGTACTACGTATTAAGCGGGCCAACATTACTGAAATATAATAGAGATTGTTTCCTTTCATAGTATTTTCATAGGTATGCACCATAACGAAGCGCCAGCTGTCTGATTTCTTGACTAGTTCTTTCTGCCCCTCGCCTCTAGTAAACTCGATCATGTCGTAACGATCAGATGGCATTACATTCAGGGAGTTAATGAAAGGATTTTTTAACATGTTTCTTTCCTTTTAGTCAAAATCTACGAAGTTACGGCAAAAGGTCGCGAAACTTTGATTGAACCGTTTTCATTTATTCTGTCAAGGCTGTTCCCATCACAGAGTATGTTTTGGTTATGACTAATGTTTGTTCCCTGCGTTATGTGCCTGTATTCAGAAGAAAGCAAATTCCTTCTTCCTCGTCGAAAGGACAAACAGCCCGGTGCGGCTATCGTCATTGACATTTAGTGTAGTGATTGCATGCTTAACAGATGTATCTGCAGCCACTCTTGATGTATGTCAATCTGCTTCTGAAGATGAACAAATCGTAGCTGACTACACAAATACGGTGACGGACGAAACTTTATTATCGCTATCGTGGAGCTAATGTAGTTCCACAGTTCAGACTCTGAATATTTTCTTTTATTTATTTTCTTGTGTTTCTTTCGCTTGCTTTATTATATAATGTTGATGTCGCTGATCGACGATTATACGTAAAATCGGCCAGGTTCTGAAGTTCTTCGCGCGTCCTTTCAAGAACTATCGGACGACGTTACAAAGCCCACTACTGTCGTAATGGACCAAAGTATGCTTCGTAAAGCTTTCTGAGAATGCTTCAGCAGCGAACCCCAAAATCGTCAAGCATTGTATCTGCATTGCAGGAGACTAAGCAGATTCAACAGGTTAACAAATCGTTCTATACAGAGAACTATGAACATCGCCATAGCTTACTGTTAGCCATACATGAGAATCATATTCTAATACAAAGTGTAGCATGGAAAGCGCCTAAACGAAACAATGTTTGATTTGGATACTATTAAAATGATGAGGTATTTTATAAACTTGTGTTGTACTATCCGAAAATACATGTCGATCGAAGAATATTTTTTATGAATAACTCGAGAATTATGTATCATAATTAACATAATATTCTTTGTCTGTCTCACAGTTGTATTTCTAAAAAACAACAACAAAAAACGGTTTAATAATACCCAAAATCCTTCTGGCTTCGAACCGATCAGCCGCTGCAGACGACAATTGAAACTCTACCACCGACTAACCTTGAAGAAGGCCCGTGAAAAATTGGCCGAACCGTCGTTATTAGTCAGTCACCGGATTGACCATATCAGTTTTAGCATTGTATACTATTAAACCGTGTTTCATGCTGTTTTTAGGTATGAAAACCAGAGCACGAACGAAATATCCGTAGCTATTATCTGATATCTTATCGCATATTTGAGGAATTTTTTTCTGCGCGGAATTTGTGCACACGGTCAGCGGTATTTGACCGTGCTTCGATCAAAGGAACGAGGAATCAGTGGTCGGTTACTCCAACGATCGGCTACAGCTTCTTAAAATCGACCACCAGATCGACAGTGACATTAAAAACCTGTTGTTCTCGCAGAGGACGAATAAAACGCAATTCACGCTAAACTCCTTACAAGAAAACGTTTCAAAATTTGGACAATAATACCATCTGGTGGTTTCATATTTTTCATTGATATTACGTAATTTAAATTTAGCGAAACTGTTTCGATCACATCGAAGTTTCCACAAAACTTAGCCACCTGCCTCGTGGTATTTCCATCATCAAACATTATGCCGGTTCGGTCGTCCCCCGGTGACCAAACGGTTGCGCAGGCTTATGGGGGACTGAAGCAGCCTGTGAAAAGTCAGCGGTCAGAACTTGCTCACCGCCCTCTGCCAGCTGGGTGCATAACAGAATGGCAACGGCTGCTCTCGACATAGTCGAACTCTCATAAACAA